AAGGTTTGTTTCTAAGGGCTAATATAGAAGCCTAAATAATTACCAATATTGTTGCTAGGGTTCCTTATTATAAATATACTATAAAGGAGCCCAAAACCCTATTCTAATTGTTAAGGCCCCTATATTAAACCCTAAACCCTAAACCCTAAACCCCAAAACCCTAAACCCTAAACCCTAAACCCTAAACCCCAAAACCCTAAACCCTAAACCCTAAACCCTAAAACCGGCTCCGGGCCTCGCATCTTCGGGCCTTATCAGGGGATATCAAGCCCGAATCCCACTAAGCCCCCGACGCTAAACCAACCCCGAAACTCAGAAAGCCTAAACCCTGCAAAAAACTCCCTGAACCTTACGCAAACATCCCGAAACCCAAAAACCGACATGGTTTAGGGTTTAGGGTTTAAGGTTTTGAGTTTCGGGTGTGCTGACTTACCCCTGAAGCTCTCACGTCCTTCTTTCAACGGTGGAACCCTCGCCGGACCTTGGCCCCTCGCAAGTCCTCCTCGCTGGCACCTGGAGGAAGCCCGGGTTTGGAGGAAGGGCTTTAGGGCCAGGGTTTAAGGTTGTAGGGTTTAGGGTTATAGGGTTTAGGGTTTAGGGTTGAGGGTTTAGGGTTTAGGGTTGAGGGTTTAGGGTTTAGGGTTTAGGGTTATAGGGTTATAGGGTGTAGGGTTGAGGGTCTAGAGTTTAGGGTTATAGGGTTAAGGGTTTAGGGTTTAAGGTGATAGGGTTTAGGGTTCAGGGTTTAAGGTTATAGGGTTTAGGGTTTAGGGTTTAAGGTCATAGGGTTTAGGGTTTAGGGTTATAGGGTTTAAGGTTTAGGGTTTAGGAGATCAGAATAGGGCTGCCTTGTTGGGGTTCCTTGAAAGAGTTCCTATAAGGGTTCTATGAAGGCTTTCTGTGGTTTTCGTATAGGGGCCTAGATATTTGGAATAGGGTTTGGGGGCATAGTAGCAGATTTATAAGCAGGAACACCCTAAGGAAGAGTGTCCGTATTGAGTCCGGCGTCTATCTTATGTAAACTGCTCTCTCCAGCCACGACTATGTCAAGCTTCTCAGTCCATGGACGGCAGTGACTCACCTTAATGTAGGGCCTTTTTCAGCGGGCTCACTAGTGCATGTCGCGCGAGATGAATTCGCTTGCAAAACCAAGAGGCAAAAGCGCTACTTGCAGAGCGCGCCTCAGATAGGGCCCAAGGGGGGCCGAAACTGAAACAAAAGGGTGCGGGACTAGCCCTTCGGGCGAAGAGTTGCCCACCACGGGCGAGGACCGTGGAAGGGTTGTGCGGGCACCCAGGCGTGTTCTTCTTTACTTAAGGGGGCAACATTGGCGGCGCACGCGATGTCAGACTCGCGATAGACCGTCCTGCACTGGTCCGCATGTTTCAAATGACCCGAGAGCCTTGCCTCCGTCCAGAACTCTGTTCCGCACACCTGGCACGCTGTGCCGAACGCCACAAGGCGGTGTTCTGCCCGAAGTCCGTGCGAGTTGGCACGGTGTTTGCTAAGCAGCCGCTTCGAGCGGAAAGCACTGGCACAGATCTCACACGCGAATGGCAGCCTGGCACACTTCGGGGCGAAGACCTGTACGGGGGCCTCCTTGGCCCGAGCTTTGATGGCCTCCGGCGGCATGCGTCGCTTCTTACAGGCCTCCCGGAGAAAGAGGCGACATGCATTGCGCACCTTGACATCCTGACCTGCGAGCTGGCAGTGCAAGTCTGCAGGGCAGGGAGCCTCGCTCGTAAGCATTTGCATCCGAAACAGCGATCCGCATGCCGATCGCCACCATTCGGTCTCCTGATGCAGCTCCTCCAGGACTCCGTACAGCTCGTGGGTGCACATCCGGGCCAGGAGCTTTGCCCGTTCAGTGGCGAGCCATTCGTCAGGCAGCGGCATTTCCAGGGCTGACGCAACCTCTACCCCCGTGAACCGGCATGAGGAGACTCCCAGAACCGCCCGGAAAGAGCCACGGTACACACCTGAGATGGCCTCCTGGAACAGGTGCTGTTCCTGTTCAGTGCGCAAAAGCCAATGTCCGGCGCCGTAGAGGAAGCGACTCAACACCCTGCTTCGGATGAGGTCAAGCTTTTCCCGTTTGGACAGGCAAGTATTCCAGAGGAGCTTGGCCCGAAGGGGCTGGAAGATAGCTTGCATCTGAGTACGCCGATGCTTGAGGCCAGGTAGTTCTTGGCCGTCTGCGCGTAGGAGCATGCCCAAGTAGAGGTATTCGGGCACAACCCGGATGTGCCCGGACTGCGCAGTATCTGGCAAGACAACCGTGGGTTCCGTGCGGCAGAGTACGTCCAGCTTCGGAGCACGGGAGCCACGCCCATGATACGCGACCATGGCCTCCGTCTTGCCAGCGCCGAAGTTGGCAGAGAGGCCCGCGCGCGCCATGCAGTTGACCATGACATCCGTGACGGCCTGGATGGCCGGCACGACTTCTGCGGCCTCTGTAGTCGAGATGAGGGCGCATGTGTCATCTGCCCACGTAGGCGTGCTGCCTGTCCCCTGCTGTTTCCTGCAGAAATGTGGCTCCCAGCCTTTGTCACGCAAATGCGTCTTGACCTCGCGCAGAACACCTGCGAAGACAAGGCTGAAGAGGGCATCAGCAAGTGGGGCACCTGGGACGGTTCCGCATTCCGACCTGAAAACCTGACCTGTGCCCTGGCGGCACACAAACCACGTGTCAGTAAGATGCTGACGAATGAGCGTACGTAGCTCCGGTGTGGCACTGAGCGCGTTGGCCAACTCCCCGGCCCTCATATGGCGCAGGAAGGACTCTTGCTGAGTGGTGTCGGAGACGGGCCCGGCAGGCGAGCAGGTGGGGGTCCGCTCTTTGCTCGTCCGTCAGGGTCAGCATGTCCTTGATGACCGCATAGTATGCGGTAGTGCAGTCAAAGAAAATAGCGGCCCCTGACCTGCCCACCCTCTTTAGGTTATCAAAGTGAGCCTTGACACACGCAATGGGGAGCCCCAGGGTACAACCAGGACGCCCGCCGTACTGGTCTGGGACTTGCACGGCCTGCAGGGCATGGATAACCGACGGCCTCATGGCTTTCTGCACCGCCTTGCTGTCGGTCTCAAGCAGGGCGATGGGTCTGTACCCCGTGCAGGCGTCGGGGGCTTTTGAGGGTTTGGGGATTGGTATCGCCTCGCCCCCGCGCTAGTGAATTGCCGTGCGGTCCCGGAGGAGCTCTTTGGCAATCGCGGGCCAGTAGCGCAACGCCGCTGTCAGGGGCGCGCCAAGAAAGGCTTCGGAAGGCAGACCTGACAGCCCAGCCGCCTTGGAACGCTTGAGCGAAGCGAAGCCATTCGTCAGTGCGGCTATGGAGGGCACAGCTGTCCCGTCGTGCCTGTTACCGGGGCAGGCGACACTGACCTCCGTGTTAAGACCTTGTACCTCAGTTTCAACAGCGCGCTCGGCAATGGCGAAGTGCTTGGCAAAGGTATCCTTGACATCGTCAGCCAGGCATGGTGCCTCGGGCTCCTTAGTCAGTGCCGGGAGTAGGGGAGGGGGCCGGAATTTGCGCCCCGTGCGCAGGATGGCGCGCATGCGATGGGCGAACTCCGCCGGGCCCGCCTGTCGGGACTGTTCGATCTGGCGCCTGGCGACCCTGGCGAACTGGGCCCGATCGTTCATCATTGCCTGCCGGAGCTGCTTGTCAACGACAGCCAGCCCGTGGTAGCTGCGCGCCATGTTAAGTCGGGCAGTTTTGGCCTCTTTATAGAACTCCTGTGGAGGGTGGGTGCCATGCTTCCACGCCTGCAGGCACAAATGCAAGAAGCCCATGTCCGATCTGCGGTTGACAGTCCTGAGGCAGCGCCGCATGTGTCTGCGCAACCGTATTAACCCGAGGGTGGCCTGTGAGATCGCTGGGTTGCGTGCTGCGGGCTGGGCCGTATGCTGAACGTCCTGCATAGAGCGAATCATCGAGCTCTGTAGGGTCTCTACATGAGTAGTGCACGTGTCAGTCCATGGCACAAGGGGAGCCGAAGTGACTGCATGTATTGCCCTGATTTGCCCCTCCTCAGTTTGAAGGTCTTTCGGAGCAATCTTGGTGCGGCTGGAAGGAACCGTGGTCTCTATATGTGCACGCAGGCGGGTGTGGATTGGGAGGTGGTCCCAGTCTGCGTGGAGATCTGCCAGATCCACGTTACCTATGGTGGAGTGGCCGTTCTTCCAATCGATTGGGCAGCCGACATAGTCAATCAGGCTAGTGGTGCCTTTTGGACTGCGCCAGGAGTGTAGGGGTCGACCCTGCTCATCTTGTTGTGCACTGAGATGAAGTCCCATGTCGACCGCGAATTGCCGCAGGCAAGTCGCGTTAAAATTGCTCGGCGCCGCATCCAAAGTATGCCTGTGGGAGGAGTGCGGCTCGAAGCGCGCATTGGCATCGATGAAGAGAAGCGGCGCGCAGACTTTGGGGACTTTAGCTAGAAGTCTCGTTAAGTGGGACCACCAGCTTCCGATGGCTTCATCACCCGTGACAGAGGTGGGCGCGTGTGCACACACCAAAACGAGCTTGACACCCCGGATGGTGCAGACGACAATTAGGACCCGGGGGTCGGCATGTACGATGGCAAAGCTAGTGCGGTCCCAACCTGCTGCTTTTCGTAACCAAAGTTGAACCCCGAAGTGCCCCCCCTTGTCACAGGGAGCAGCGAGGACCCAGAATTCTTCGCAGCTAGAAATGCCATCAGCTCGGTCCCGGGTCTCCTGCAGGCCTGCCAAATCGATCCGGTGCTTGCGTAAGCCCGTGCAAATCAGGGCACGGGCTGTTGCCCCTCGCACTGAAAGAGCGTTGTACGTGAGGAGCCTCAAGTCCAGGGCGACCGTCTGCACCTCGCCTGTGACCTTACATAGGTAGGGGGGGAGCAGGTTGGGCGCAGAGCTGCGCACCTCGGCATTGGGTTTGGACCAGGTGCCATCACCTTGCAACGGGGGCAGCGTGGCAGCAAAGATAGAGTCGGGAGTTGCAAGCCAGGCCCGCTCTAGCACCGCCTCCGTCACCGCAGCCTGTAAGGAGCTCCAGTCTGCTGAATCCGGAAGGGATTGGCCTGTTGTGCCTGCATGCTTGGCAATTTCATCCGCAAGCGAGTTGAAAGCACAGCCGCTGTGCGCCTCGATCTTGTGGAGCAGAAGCTGCTTGCCTTGTGCCGTAAGGGTAGCCGCCAAACCTATTGCTGCAGCCGGCAGCTGTGACCCGGCCTTAAAGCTACAGAAACCAAAGGCTGCAGCCAGGGCCGATTGGCAGTCAGATCCGAAATGGCATTCGCTTGTTGACGCCGAGATGCCGATTGCTTGAGCATGTAGTAGGGCCTCTAGCTCACCATCATATGCCGACGGACAGTGCCCTGCAGTTGCCTCCGGGTGCAAGACGCAGGGGCTTAGGCCCCTATATTACCCTGCAGAGCGATTCGCTTGGCTTCGGTGCCCCAGCCGCAAAGCTTCTAGCCGGACTGCTTGCAGAGCCACGTTTTAGAGTTTAGGGTTGCGGGTTTAGGGTTTCGAGTCTAAGGTTTGGACTTTAGATAGGGTTCAGGCCATTTTCTTTTAGATGGTCCACAACCCCCCCTCCTTCCGCTCACGCCTGCAGCTCGTGTGGCAGCCTCGAGCTCAACCTCGAAGTCGTCCACCGGGGCGAAGTTGCCTGGCAGCGCAACTAAAGAGGAGGCCTGGAGGGTTTAGGGGTTTAGGCTTGAGGGTTTAGGGTTTAGGGGTTCAGGATTTAGGGTTTAGGGTTTAGTTGTTTAGGATTTAGGGTTAGGGTTTAGGCGTTTAGGATTTAGGGTTTAGGGTTGAGAGTTTAGGGGTTTAGGATTTAGGGTTCAGGGTTTTGCTGTTTAGGATGTAGGGTTTAGAGTTCAGGGGTTTAGGATTTCTGAGTTCGGTCCGGACTGTCTTGTTGGGTTGAGGATTTGTCGTCGAACCCGAAATACTTAGGAAACCTCTAGACCCTCAACCCTAAACCTTTAACCCTAAACCCTGAACCCTAGAATCCTAAGTCGAGTCGGACGATGCAGTGTGGCTGTGGGGCTCGGGGTTGACAACTGCTGAAGCTTGAAAGCTTTGAAGCCTAGTTTAGGGAGGTTTAGGGTTTATGGCTTCGGTTTAGGGTTTAGGGTTTAAGGCTTAGGGTTTAGGGCTTGGGGTTTAGTGGTTTAGGCCTTAGGGTTTTGGGTTTAGGGCTGTTGGAACCGGATTTCGAGATATGTTGCCGCAGAATGATTATGTCGGGACCTTTACCTCTTTGTCTGTTACAAAGTACCAAGAGCCCCAAATACTCCTAGGTCCTGTGCGCCTGTGGAGTGTCGGGTTCAGGTTTAGGGGTCTACTTGAACCCTGAACACCCTAAACCCTAAACTCCAAACCCCTAAAGCCAAACCCCAAACCCCATCAACTGCAGATCTTGGCAGATTGAACCCGACGGCCAAACAAGCAGTTGCAAGCATACTCCGGGATATCCTGAACTTGGAAAGGCAGTCCTAAAAGCAGCTAGGTATGCTGCTCTGAACTACCGAGACAAGACGGGAGTTAAAACGAAAGTGACCTAGATCCTCAACCCCTGCAACTCCAAGCCCTTAACACACACCCTAATGCCCAGACACTGCAGCACCCAAACAACTTCTGGCTGGCAGGTGAACCCTAAGCCCTAAACCCTAAACCCCTAAACCCTCAGCCCTAATCTACGGTTGAAACCATGGGCCCTTAGTATGGGCCCTTAACCCTAGATCCTTATGCACCTGTTATATACCCTATATATGATATGTACCCTGAAGGGTCCCTAGAAAGGCCTAAGGGTCCATGTTAGGGCCCGTGCTTCTAACCGACCTAACCGAGCCCTTACAGGTGAAACGGCGCACCGACGATCTCCGTCGTGCTCTGGAGCACGGCAGGCTCAGAGTCCAAGACGACCTGCCATGTTCCAACGCAGTTCCAGGAGACTTAAACGAATCGAAGCAGATAACCCTTAACCCCCGACCGAAAGAAAAAAATGTACCCAAATCCCTAAAATCGTAGCAAAAGCAGCAGCAGCATGCACGCACGCACAGCGCGCACAGCACCACTAGCACCAGCACCAGCGCCAGCACCAGCAGCACACCACCACCACCACCACTACCGCCGCCACCACCACCACCGCCACCACCACCACCACCACCACCCTCACTACCATACTCTTCCTGACACTCCACATCGACGAAAACATCTTCAATTCGCTATGGTCATCTTCGCCATCCGCATTATCATCGTCATCATCACCATCATCACCATCACCAATCACCATCATCACCATCATCATCCTGACCATCGACGGCCAGATTGACCACGCAACTATCACTGGGAGTGCCACCGGCAGCCTCGCTACCGGAGGAGTGGGAGGGAAAGAGAGGTCTCTGCGAAGGAGCTGATGAGCACGCACCTCCTAGGCAAATGCCTAAACCAGAGACAATCCAAGCAAGGCAAGAAGGGCTCTGGCGCCTCAGAGGACCGTACCTATGCCTTCTTGCCAAAACCTCAGCGACCCTTCGCACTTCAGCCCTTTAGAAATGCTGCTTGGTTCTTCACCCTAAACCCTTAGCCCCAAACCCTAAACCCTTCCGCAAGCACAGGAGCAAGGCACATCAACCCGCAAACCTGAAACCCTACGACGCCTACCCAGGTCGAGCCATCAAAGAAAAACAGCACGGTGCTGGTGGGTTTAGGGTTTAGGGCTTAGGGTTTCGGGTTTTCGGGCTTGCGGTTTGGGGTTTAGGGGTTCAGGGGTTTAGGGGTTAGGGGTTTAGGGTTTACGGGGTACGGAGCACCGTGACAAAAGTTCATCCTCAGCACCACTATGACAAGCAGCATCGTCAGGACGTCCAGACTCGTAGCCGAAGTCGTGAGCATAGTCTCACCCGAAGCAACAAGACAACAACAGCAGCAAATAACATGACTATACTGCGAATGGTGATGATCAAGATCTATACTACTGATTCCTATAATAAGAATTATTGAATTAGTAATGTAAGCAATGAAATTCTCGTATAGCAATCATAATACCTATAATACCAATAGTCGCAGTACTAGCACAAGTACTGGTACTAGTACTAGTGCTAGTGGTAGAAACAGCAAAAGTAACAGCAACATCCAATGGTGATGATAATATTGACAACATAGTTTCCAGACTACTGATAGTCAGAATAGCAATATCCCTAAAACCTAAACCCTAAAACCTAAACCCTTCATCATCATCATCATCATCGTCATAAAACCAGAAGTCACTCCATGCTCGCGCGCGCATGTTTTTCTGCACCCGCTTGGGTCTAAGGTCGTGGGTCCCTGTGTCGTAGAGACCTTACTATCTGAACGTAAACTTTACTATACAGGGTTTTGCCATATCGACTGGACACTTCCCCTCGACGATGATATGTACATGCATAATCATGCATGTATACTGTGTAGATCTTATCCAACAGGATCTCCACATTCTACACCCAAAAATCAACCAACGCCGAATAACACTGCAGGTCTTTCACTTAGGTCCGTCGATTTCGGAGACTGTACCAAAACCCCAGCTTCCGCCCGTCACGGCGCCGGCGGCTTTGCTGCGCCTCTGCACCGCCCTCGGTTCGCAACGTTCTCTAGGGCATTGGCCTGTAACCGGGCAGTTTGTGATATGCAGTTAGTGGATATGTTTAGGATGCTTCATGTTTGTGGGGGTTTTATAGGGCTCACCAATGCCTGGGAGCATCTGCCAACATACCGGCTACGGCGGCTGAAGTTTCAGCATAGTTCAGCGTGCAATACAATTCGAATAGAAATTGGGGAGATTAGAAAAAATCTGCAAGGACTGCTGGGGGCCAGTCTTACGAATGACTCAGATATACATTGAGGTTCACATATTCAGGAGGGAAGCTTATGGTGTTCAATCGAGAGGAGGGCCAGCCACGAGAAGTTGCCGGATCTGTAAAGAGGGTCCTTAATGATCAGAATAGTGCGTACTGGGACTATAAGGAGATTCACTGGACATGTCTCCCGCCTGTTAGCATGGCTGGGCCAGCCGTATCTCTGCAAACGTGAGCAATATAGGAGTCGGAACATTTGTATCAATCCCACCTTCAAAACCCCCTACCTTAAGCTACCATAACTGACGTTTTTGTAGGTTCTTGTTTTACACCCTTATACGGTTTTTACAGGGACCACACAAAAAGCTCGGTTTTGGTCAGGGGATGCAGTTACACGAACATCTACCCCAGAAACCGCCTCCCCTACAGAGGCTGCCTGCACCACCCCTTTTTCTTCGAGAGAATGCACCGCAGCACTTCGGGTTTCGGCTTGAGGCTTGCGGCTTGAGGGTTTCCGGTCTGCAAGGAGCTTGCCTCCTGCCAAAAACCCTGCCATCGAGGCGGCCTTCGTGGCTTTCTCTTTCGAGTATGGCCTACACAACCCTGGGGATTTACTTCTCCTTCCAAGCAGCGGAACCCTGGAGCTCTGATCGAAAACATGGGCCTTAAGAATTCGAACAGGGTTTTGGGGTTCCTTTTAAGGGTTCCTTACAGGGTTCTATAAGGGCTCCTATAAGGGTTTAGGGTTTAGGGGCCTTCAGAATTGGATTAGGGTTTTGGGGTCCATTGCACTACAACTATCAGAAGGAACCCCCAAAATAGTATTGGAAATGATTTATGCCCCTATCGTAGATCTGCCAACACCATACCAACTTTAGGGTTCTATCGGGGTTCAGGGTTCGGGATTTGTCTGTCTGTCTGTCTGTCTGTCTGTCTGTCTGTCTGTCTGTCTGTCTGCATACATGTGTCAATGCACTTAAACAGGCAGGCCGGCCGCAGGCAGGGCGCGGCAGCTCCGTCTCTGGACGTCTGGGTTCTTGCTATTTGCTCTGGATTCCTGTTGCGGTAACTGAAGCCCTAAACTGGCCCTAAACCCTAAACCCTTATCCCTGAACCCTTTAAAGCCTAAAAACTGAACCCTGAACCCTTTCAAGCCTAAACATTGAACCCTAAACGAACCCTTGAAAGCCTAACACTGAACCCTAAACCCTTAACCCTGAACCCTTTAAAGCCTGAACACTGAACCCTAAACCCTTGACCCTGAACCCTTGAAAGCCTAAACACTGAACCCTAAACCCTGAACCCTAAACCCTAAACCCTTAACCCTAAACCCTGAACCCTAAACCCTAAACCTTGAACCCTAAACCCTAAATCCTGAA